TGATTATTTATTGGTTTAAAATATATTTTCCTTAACGGGTAACGGGTCGGGTCATATTACCTGTTAATATTATCGGGTCGATTTCGGGTCGGGTCATTTTACCCGTTTATTTTAACGGGTGTTACACGACACGACCCGTTAAGATATCGGGTATGACACGAAAACGACACGAACACGGAAAACACGACACGAATGCCATGTCTAGCAAATGGGATGGAAATGAAGACAGAAACTTTTATTCTTCCTCTCTTTCCGTTAGCGGTAATTATCGAAAGTTATATTTAACTGTGTTGGGCTTTGTATTCCAGCCCGGGTATAATTTTATGGCCTTTGTCCTTATGGTTAAATTTTAGAAGCTTTTGATTAAACAATATTTTAAGCTGGTTTTTGGTTAAAATTGTCTTATTCCAAGCTATTTTCATTAAAATTTTCTAAAATAAACTACAAATAACGAGACTTTTTAAAATAAAATCCCACACTTGGCTCCTCTAACAAGTGATTAAGTTGTGGATGATAATAGCAATGTTAGACCACTGACCGTCTTTCTGAAATTTAATTGTCTTTAAACAAATGTTCTCTCTCCTTTTTGTGTGTGCTTAGCTTGTTTTGTAATTGACAAGTCGTATTTTGTTGTGTCGTGCGCTAAATGAGCTAGAAACTTGTGTCATGCAGCAATTCATTTTACACATCTTCAGCTCGTATTTTGTGTGTCACTTTTGAAGGTCGAGCCTACTCAAATTTGCATGAAATGACACCATTTGGCGCTGAAAGTTGGCCAATTCTATAATCACATAATTATGTCCTACTGCCACAAATTTTTATTCATTTTGTCACTTACTAGAAGCAGTGCCCTCAACCATCAATTCGTTTTCAATGGCAAAGCATTCTTTAGAGCAGTAAATCAACAATCCCAATTTGTTTTGAGTCAAGGTGTCAGTGATTAGATTTGTGTGATCACCAATAACAAGCTATTACTATGAGAGCAAATTTTCGCCTTAGATTGAATTGACGAAAACCCACACACACAAGAAAAGAGACAAACGTAGCTAGACTAACACTGGTGTGTAAGGCATAAAGACTGTATGAAGTTATAAAAGTGTGAGTGAGAATTCTTAATTACCGGAATAAAATGGTTGGCATTCACTATTTATAGAGAATTGAGGAGTTAACCCTAGCGTCCAGTTTCGTTCTCTACACACCGAGGAATATTCCTTTGAGATTCTTGGAATATGCTTTGTAAAGTCTAGCCATGCTAAGAGATTGATAAGCAAGCCCATTACATATCAGGGTGATCTGCATAAGTCAAGTGGCGATCGACATGGACTGTTTGCGATGAATTGGACTGGGGGGCCTGTTGATTTTGGGCTTCTAGGACCTTCGTAGAGAATGTGACATGTTACTCCGTTGGAGTTCAACTAATGGTCTGCGTATTCCGTCAAGGACAAAGTAGATATATTTGATAAGTTGTACACATGATGTGTTCCTATTGGTCGGAATTTATTCCCACAATCATGTTGTTACATGTGAGAGTAATTTGAAGTTGGACATACCAAAATACAAAGATGTTGGTGTGTGAGAGTAAGTTGAGATTATCAAGTAAGTGGAGTCACCTGCCTCACTGAAGTTTTCCTACCTTAGCACATACGGGTGACAACAATGAACCAAATGAAATCGGTTTGTCAGGACAATTTAAATAGCAGCAGCCAAAACCACACCAATTCCATCTCCTTTCGTAGATAACTTGATTGAATTTAACTTTTGGGAGGCGTTTAATTCACCGGACTAGGACTTGATTAGGCTATTCACCAATTCTAACTTGGATTAACCATGGGTCTAATTAACAATTGGGTAAGTTGGAATTATACCTTTTCTATGTGGGCTTATTTTAGATCATTTAACATGAAAGGACTAAATAGAACCAACCTAACCCAAATCAATCAGTTAATTAGTCCAAGCCTTTGGAGTATTTTGTAGTAAACTAATTTGGAGAGTTCTAGAGTGACTTAATTTGATTGCGTAATGGTTGTGAAAAAAGGAATTAATGCCGTTATATACTTTAAACTGCCTTTTTGCTCTTATAGTTGGACCTCGTTTTCATCCCTAATTTGAAGAGACCTCTTACTTAAATATATACATTACAAACTTTTTTTCTTGAGATTATATTGTCAAATCATTATTTAACTGTAAATTTGAACAACACATTTAGACAAAAATCAAATGAATTAATGAAAAAAAAATCTCACAATTGTGACAACTTGAGTTATCTCATTGCAATAGGTAAATACTGAGAGAAAATAAAATGCAAAAGGATTAATGTTTTGGACGAGTGGTGTGTTCAACAGTACTTGGTAGGTCACTAAGAGTAAGCTCAGACACAGTTGGTAGAAGATCTTTCTGCTGGTACTTACTGTTCATATAATGCGCGCACTCAAACTCCAGAAACACCTGACGCCCCGTCTGCCCGGCCCCTACAACAAATTGGCCATACTACCACGAGATGAAGACATGTATGTAAAACCATAAATTATTGCAAAATTTTAGAAGAAGATAAAAGATAAATCAAGACAAAAGAGAAATGCAAAGTTGAGGAGGAAGGAGGTCAGAAATCATTGCGAGTTTTCGGGTGCAAGGACGAATATATGTAAAAGCTGAAATACTTGTAGGCTGTGTATAGTTGCATATAGTACCTTTGCTTAGATGAATGAGAAAATTTGTGGCTCTAGGCAAGTTAGCTGTAGCAATATTTACTATTGGTACTGTTTATATTAAACTGATTGACATCAGATACTATTCCTTGATGCTTTGGCTTAAAGGAAAGGAGAAACAGAAAGAAATATGTGCGCGTGTTGTATATGTAGTGCAAAAAATGTCTTCTCTTATCATACAACCTAGCAACGTAAGCATCCTATGTTAACTGTCAGCAGTGTGGAACTTGATTGGTTTATAGGTTGTGAGATAAAGTTACATACGAATTATATTTAGAAGGAAAAAAATTCTGTTGGGATTCTATTCTATATAGCCTTCTATATATTACAATGTCAGAGCTAACATAATCAATAATTCATATTCACAGTTGACAACTTTACATTGTCAAGTCGTCTTTCAACTTAAAGTGTGTAGTAGAGTTTTAGAGTTCTAACACATATAGACTTAAAAGGAAGATTAACTCGATACATAAATCTAAAGTAACTAGTTAGATATAGACAAAACATTCTAATAAGTAACTGACGTGGCTTTGATTCGTAGTGGTAGTCATGGTTTAGGGTTATAGGTTTACATTAGGGTTTTGATTATTGCGGGTTGTACGAACTTGGCTTTGAGTCTTGCTTATATGGTGGGAGTATGATTCTCTCCTCTTTTTTTTCTCCTTCCCTTCTATTTGAACGGTTATGGTTAAACCACGTCAATATCTTATATTAATTTTAGGGACACTTTGGATGCGGTCCCTAGCTATCAATATTCTTTGATTGAAACCTGGTTAGTTTTTAGTTTTTTATTGAGGTCTCTGACATTAATGTAATAATGTAAGTTACTATATTTTTTTAATTAAAAATTAAAAATTGAAAATTGTAATTGTTTATATTAATGAGATTTTAAATAAAACCCATAATTTATGGGATTAAAAATAATAAAATATAAATTATTCTCTCTATTATATTGTGTGTGTGTATAGATATACATATATGTATGGGTACATTAACCAAAATTAACAAAACAAAAGTTATTGTACCAAAACATGGATACATTCTCAAATCAACGAAAAATAATGTACTCATATAAGTTTAAACATAGATTAAAAAATTTGAATGGATTTTATATTAAAAAATGGTACATTTTACATATAACAAATTGATATATTTGAGAATGGGTACATTTAAGATTAAAAAAATTGAAAAATTATATGAATGGGTACATTTAAGATTAAAAAATTGAGAATCTTTTTATATATAAAAAAACTAATAGGTACAAACTTAATTTAATTTAATTTTTTTATTATTTTGGAAATGTTTGAATTGAAAATTAATTAGAAGTTTAATAGAGGTGTGAGTATTAAACCCTAAATTAATTACTAATTTTTATATTAAAAAATTATATAATAAACATGTAAATTCATTATCACATTAATACTAGGGACTTGAATCAAAATTTGAGAAGTAATAAGGTGTTAGTCAATGAACAGTAAAAACTAAGGACTGGATACTAATTTTCCCTTAATTTTATATAAAAAGAGAAAGACAAAAGATAGAATGTGAGAGGATGTGAGAGAAATGGATGAAAAGAGGAGGAGAGAAAATTCTAGTCCTATATGGTGTGACATGGGCTTTCCTTTTTCGAGTTTATTACTTAGTGTCTGTAGACGTCTTGTGGGGTCACAGTTTTTCTTATGCAATATTGTTTCTTCTAACAAAAATTAAAATATTAGCTCTCGTTACAGAAACTCTAGCATAGTCTTCAAGTTTATTTTCGACATAAACCTTAACTTCGATAAAACATTGTATCTATACTGAGAATAATATATTTTTGTTGGACTTACATCGCTAGACGAATACTATTGTTTATGATGAATCTAAACATCACATGTTAGGTTAGGATCAACATGATCAATGGATCGGATCCACAATACGAAAACATATGAACTCATGTTGTCGGATAAAAGAACATTTCCTCAAGCATGTATTATTTATTATTTAAAATTATAATTTGGTAGTGAACCAAAGGTAATCTGGTAGAGAAAATGGTTTCCCTACACTATTTTTCTATATTTTTGTTATTTCTGACATTTAAATTGAATAACGCTAGTAAAAACAAAAAACAAAAAAAAATAAATAACTTTGTGAGAATCAGGAAGAATGGTGGGCATAAACTTTTTCTCCTTAATTAATTTCACAACAAGACAAAGATACACTTCCAAAACACAACCATGCTTTTGAATTATCATCAATGTTATCTTTAAAGTTTAAAGAAGCACCGACCTTTTCCACATCTCTTTGATCTCTCTCTCTCTCTCTCTCTCTCTCTCTCTAGTATCTTTTTTTTCTTGCAACTGCCAGGTAAGACTTTGCTGAAAGACACAGTGAAGAGGGAGTGAGAACAAGAGTTTGCTTCAAAGCTAGAATTGATGGGGGCGTCAACTTGCATTACTTTTAATGGTGCAATTCTACTACTTTCCAACTATTGATCTCCTTTTGAACTACACAACTCCTATTAATTGTCTACCACTTAACAAGCAAAAAAGCTGCTGGCCTCACACAACCCACAAACACAAATTAAACCCAAAACCCCCAAACACTCAGATTGAAAATCATCAAAACTATATATCGAAATTCCAATGATTTTTATACAATTAAGGGTTACAACTCTTAATTATAGATAGACATGAAGAAATTAAGATGGTGAGGCAAGGAAGAGGAGGAAGAGAAGAAGAAATAATGGGTTCCAGATGCCAAGACTGTGGGAATCAATCAAAGAAGGAGTGTGTGTACATGAGATGCAGGACTTGCTGTAAGAGCAAAGGGTTTCACTGCCAAACTCACTTCAAAAGTACTTGGGTTCCTGTCCACAGAAGGCGCCACGCTCATCACCAACAGCTTCCTTCTATTGATCCACAGCACCCACCTCACCTTCATCAAGGGCACAACTACAACCCTAGGAGGACAGCAGCTGGACACGTCATCACCAATTCCTCTTCATCTGGTACTTGTATTACTATTTAATTCATATGTATAGATCATGATTTTTTCTTGAGGAGGTTGACGAATGTGATCTCCGTGTACTAACCCTAACAGTGTTCTTTCCCTTTACTCTTATACTAGCTAGTACTATACCACTGTTTAGGAATATTGTAATTCTTTCTTCAGACAAACACATCGATATAATTTTTCCTTGATTCTTTGTATAAAATGAACATCAATTTTAATATAAATATTATTTTTCATCTTGCTAATATGGGTTGTGTATTTTAGGGCAAAATCAACAGGTTAACAATTTTCCAGCAGAAGTGAATTCCATGGCCAATTTTCGCTGTGTTCGAGTGCGCTCCGTGGAGGATACGGTCAATCAGCAGGCTTATCAGACAAGTATGGTAATCGGGGGGCATGTATTCAAAGGTATACTTTATGATCAAGGCCCTGATTACACCACTGCAGCTGGCCAAAGTTCCAGCTCCCAGCATGTAATGAATAAGCAAACTAGTAATTTTATTAATGCTACTGCTTCTGCTTCAAATATTACTGCTTCCACTCCATCAGCTGCTGCAGATCATCAAGTGCCACATCATCATCAACTTCCTTCTTCTTATCCGTTGATTCCTTTTAATGCATTCATGCCTGGTACGCAATTTTTCCTTTAACCCAAAATAATGATGAGCCTTAACTAGGATCTCTGTAATTGGTTCTTGTATTTAAAAAATAAGGATACATGATTAATTATGTAATAATAATACTTTTCATACGATCATCCTAACCATTTTTATTTATACAGTAAAGCCTCTATATATTCATAATGTTTGGTCAAATCAATTTTATAACTTTTTGGAGGTTATTACTTAATAGAGGTGTAGCTAAAAAGTTTAATTTTACTTGGTTTTTGTTAACGAAATTTGTATGGATACAAAGAGCTACTAATGGAACACGTCAATTTCCAAGATGTAACATTGGAAAAAGAATGACACCCAATCTTAGAAATCTATTGCATATATGTATGTAGTACTCTCTTTAATGTTTCTCTATAAACATGCTTGAGAAGCTGAGAACTTTATGGTGTCACCAAGAACTTGTCCATGTTGATGGGCATTACGTACCAGCAAGCTCAAAGGTGTGATATCAACTCTAAAAAATAAATTTGTCTCAAACAATTATACAATTTTTTTTTAGTTCATCTTAAACTTTTATTCGTGACATGTCATATTTTTGTACTTACTGACAATAATTATTATATGGAAGTGAGTTTTCTTAATACAGGACCTAGAAAAATTATTACTTATTATAATGTGGAGTTTATTCCTATATATAACTGGTCTAAATTTTTTAAACTAAATTTGCAAACCAAAGGATGTGGTTGTAGATGATTGGATTACTAATTAAGTGTCGATTAACACACTTGTTTTTTATTGGTAACACATCATTTAGTTTGCAATTTGATTTAAAATATTTGGTCTCCCTAACATTACCCGTATACTATATATATGTTCCACCAAATATTGGAGTGTAAATAATGAAGGAGACCAAAGATCAAATCCCCTCCTTATTAAGTTATATAAATAGCAAGATACATAGTATGTGTCATTGTAGATTTATGTACAGCACATTCATATATACCAAAGTAAGAAACACATAAATTAAAAAAATGAAGAAGCTAGATGAGCTTTAATTAATTAATTACATATACTTATGTTTGTTTCAAAATTCAATGTTTACATTATGTGATGGTGTTCTCTGTGATATTCTCTCTGTGAAATGTTGTTGTATGTATATACAAGAAAATTTTGAAATTTGTCTTCTTGCATAGTTTTTTATGGTTAATTCTCATCTTCAAGGCTAATATACTTGTAAAGTATAATTGTTTATGAACTTCGAAACCACTTTTCTCCAGCATTTCCGTTTCTTTGCCGGTTTGATGCAATGTCTGGAGCAGTGAAGCATGTTTTTGTTTTATAAAAATCTCAAGTACTTTGCATGTGCATCAAACTACATATATTTACAATTAACCAAAACATCCAAGAAAATGTATACATACAGAGACACGATCTCAGAGGCCTGAAGCAGTGAAGCATGGCCCATATAGAATTCAAGGAATTGCTGCTCATCAAAAGCTGGTTTTGTTTATTTTAATAATTTGGATCGATATTATACAAAATTCAGAAACGTTAATTGTTAGTCATTTTGCACATAATGTTTGTTATTTTTCTTGAAAAAACGTTTTTTTTTTGCTAGAAAATAAAATTTATTTATTGATAAAACATGTGTCTACAAGTTTCAATATCTCTATAAAGTTTCTAACAAAAAAAATATATATCTCCATAAAGTGTAGCACTAACATGCATACTTAATAATTATTCAAAGTGGGTATCATATAATTATATTCTAATTTTTTCACAGTTAGGGGAATCATAAGGTTTGGATATTTTATTATTAAAAGTACCAAAAAAAAAAAACTCATATAATTGGAGCATCTTTTTGTGAACTGAAACTTTAAGCACTAATTAATTAAACAAATCCCCATGCCTAATTTTTTTTTTAATCTTTTATGGTAAAAAGACATTCACACATTTATTATATACAGGAAAAGATATATATATACACTTCTAAATGCCACTAGCTCTGGAATATATCCTTAGTGCTGGAAAAAGATAGAGACATTGCAGGAGTATAAACGATAAAAGTTATTTTTTATCATTGTAGTGTATTTTCGTAGTGTAGGAATCCATACTGGATTACTTGCCAATTGTAGTCATATGAAATTGAAAAAGTTGGACAAAAGGCTTCAATTCGAAAACATGTTGGCAAGTTTGGATGGAGGAAGGAGGGAAAAAAAAAACAAATATATGCATGAGGTACGGCAATCTTTATAGCTTTCGATTAAAAGGGTTTGTAAAGAACAATGCTTGTCTATTCAAAGATGAGTAGGAACTTCTACTCAAAACTCTTCTTGTTCAAATCACAGAGCTTTGTGCTTATGATCAGAACTGTTTATATTATAAATCACATTGTAAAGATCATTTATGTAAAAAATGAATAAAACTAAGGTTGTTTAGTTAATTTATTCTAGCAAATACATAGACGGTTTATAATGCTTTTACCAATTCCATCCATTTTTTTTTTTACAGTTCGATGACTAAACAACCTTAGTTTTAGTTGATTTTTTACAAGGGGGATATTTATAGAGTGATTTATAATATGAACGGTTCTGATTATAAAAATAGAGTTCTATAAATCGACAACGAATAATTTTGAGTAAGAACTTATGCTTTGAGTAGCCAATTGTTCGTTTGTAAATTATGATTGTTTATTTTTATTCTTTTATTCTTTTTTAGGTGTTAATAAACTTTGTCATCCTGAAAGCAAATGATACATTGAAATGCGTCATGAACCATATGCAAGCACCAAATGAACTAAATTACCAACCAAAAGACGCTTGAAAGCATATGATATATTGCTCTTATTCTTTAATTTTACATACACATGGAGGAGAAACTATCATTTTGTTTAGTATAGGGGATTGAGTTTGAATGGATAACATTCTAAATTCAAGACATATTGAAGGTAGATGAGAATGATTCTTCATTTTGAGAGGAGACATGAAGAAAACTTCTCCCTTCCAATCCTCCCGAATGATTGGAATGGATAAGTTTTTTTCTTGACTAATCATTATTCTACCTCTAAGTTGGTCACAGTTTCATTTCTTCTTTAAAACATATCTTGAATTAGTATCTTATCTATCCCAATTCAATCATGTATACCAAACGAGTCCCATGAGAAGTGATAAATGCTGGATACGGCTTCTCTTTTAACCCAATTTCCTCCTAATCTATCTAATTAATCTGTTTTTAATGACTACTGACTAACCTAGCTAGATGAACATATATTAAAAGACGTTTTTTAATTTCCTTCATGTAAATAGTAGATTTTCACAATGAAAAATTGTATATAAATATGTGTATATATATTAATGTACTGTTTTTTCAATGAAAAACCATATATTACAGAGAGGCTGCTTTAATCTGTGCTTCAATTAGAAGTATAGAAAAATGTTTGACCTTGTTAATTAAACTACCAAAGTCTTTCATAAATTATGTTGGAAAACATCAGCATAAAGTTGTAAATCCACAAACTAGTTAGCATATCCTTTTTTAAAGGTCTCATATTTATATAAACACTGTATACATGATCATTAAGATATTCTTATCTCTACTAGTAGCTACTGTGGAATAAAACCTAATTAATTACAAAACAGAATGTTAAGCTTTGCAATTTCAACGAATAATATGAATATTTCTGTAACCAAAACCTAGAAATGACATATATAAGTAAAATATAAATACAAACCATTCAAGTGGTGCTGTACATGTACGATGATCAATTTGCATACCCTGTCATGGTTTTTTGCACTGCCGGCGACAATCGAGCCAACAAAACAGATTGTGAGCTTAATTTAGGTTTTACAAGATCTTGAATCAAAACCTCCAACTCCCATCCCCGATTTGCTTTTAGCTAATTTATGTCGGATGGGTTCATTTCTGACAGTTTAATGGGATGAGTTAAAAGATTTTGAAAGATTTTGAGTTAACAATTCTAGAGTAGTATGCAATGTTTGAACTTTATCCTAGCTATGCATATAATACCATGAAGAAGTACCCATCGTTCGTAAATTGCGAAACAGATTTTCATATTTTATTTTATTGATTAAGCAAATTTCACCTCCTTTTGCCAATTATATGTGGCTTTATCCTGACTCCTCTTTTATTTAGTTATTAGATTATTTAGACCATCTCCAATCCTTGGGCTAAAAGCCAAATTTTTTAGCCCGAAAAATTTGGCTTTTAGCCCAGAAACATCTTTTCTGCTCCAACCCTTCTACCCTAAAATTTTAGCCCTGAATTATTAAAGAATGAATTTAGGCTAATTTTTTTCTTAAATAAATATGTAGATTATTGTAAATTAATTTTATGAACATTTTAATCTAAAAAAAATTAAATTCCGATAAACATTTGGCATTTAGCCCGGGGGGAAAGCTGGGGGGAATTTGGCCTAGAAATAACATTTGGCATTTAGCCTAAAATTTTAGCATGGGTTGGAGAGTGTTTGGGGGGGGGTAATTTGGCTTTTAGCCCAGGTTTGGAGATGGTCTTAAGAGCTTAGTATGGTTACGTAGTTCATATATGATCAAATATTATATATTTTTTCTTTTTGGTTGCATATCTGATCGTTAATGATAAATGTATTAAGTAAATGCATGTATTGTTGTCATTCTCGCAAATTGGATAGCAGATTTGAATTTTTCGAATGGTAAAAAAAACCACAAGCATGCATTTCACATACTAAGGGCCAGTTTGGGCTTTTTTGTTTTTTATAAGAAAAAAAAACTGGGTATATTATCTTTTAAGCACAATCAACTGTAAAATCAAATATATGTTGCGGTCTCTTGCTATTCGAGATTTGGGTATTAGATGGCTTCCGTGGGCTCTTGCAAAATCTTTGAGTTGTGAAACTGGAATAATCCATGAACACGAGCACTCGAGAAAGACGATCGCCATGGTAAACATTCGATGAGGAATGTGGTTGTTAGGAATTTTTGTTGGGAAAAAGTCATAATACACATAATTTGAGGTTTACAGAAATGATCATTTTGAGTAACGACACAACGATGACATAATGATAATACAACAATGATATAATAATGAAATAATAAACACTGATCATTTCTGCAACATAATGTTAAAATATGTTTATTGTGGTAAT